AAACGTTCGCGTATTGTGAAGACGTCGGGAAGCTAATGAAGGCTATGGATATTATTTACGAAAAGGATGATTGGCGCCTGTTTATAGACAGTTCTAAAAATAGTTTGAAAGCCGTGCTGTTGCATAAATTAAACGAAAAACCTTTAATCCCAATCGCCTACAGTACGGACACAAAAGAAACGTATGATAAAATGAAGTACATTTTGGAACTGGTCCAGTATAAGCAACATCGATGATATCAGTGGAGAATTTTTTGCGATTTAAAAGTTGTTGCTATACTCTCTGGATTGCAAGCTGGCTACACGAAATTCATGTGCTTCTTGTGTGATTGCAATACGAGATACACTGGTGACCAATACGCAAAGAACGATTGGAAAGATAAGAAGGACAGCGAATTTAAAAATTGTAATGTTGTACGCGAAGCGCTTGTAGCACCTGAAAAGATATTAATTAATATTCTTCATATTAAACTTGGAATCGTGAAAAACTTCTTAACAGCTGTAGCAAAAAGAGAGGACGTATTAATATGCTTAAGCGAAATATTTACCGGAATTAGTGTCAACAAGTTCTCAATGGTCCAGACTTAAGGAGGTTAATAAAAAATGAACGATTTGAAGTGGTTTTAGCGGGCGATAAATTAGTTGCATGGTATTTCATAAAGCAAGTTATAACTGGATTTTTGGGCAAACATCGAGTATGCTTTTTTAACCATAGGTGTACATATGTCACTTAAAATACAATATTTGCATCATTACTTGCAAAACTTTAGCCGTCAATTGCCAACCGAATCAGATGAGCAGGGAGAACGCTATCATCAAACTGCAATTCCATTCGAAATAAGGTAGACTTTTCTTATTTTATTTCTTAGTTCATTTACAATTGTTATTCCGTTTAGGTACAGAGGAAAGAAAGCACCAGATGCTATTCTCGCTGAGATTTGTTGGTGGAGCAAGCGCAGGTTTGAAGACCGTGACAGTAAAAAAAAACGAAAAAGATGAAGAGGAAACGGAAAGATTTATAGAAGAATTTGTTGCTTCGGACGATGAAGATTCTGATGTTGTTAAGGCGGCAGCCAAGAAAGCACGACCTTAATATATATTTTTCGTTTACTTAATTTTCTTAATTTTCTTGATTTTGGCTTCAAAAGATACACATCAGGCAAGTTTTTTTCGGGTTAATAAGTTCACAAAAATTATTTATTTTTACATAAACTATAATTTTGCCACATAAATTTAGCAAAAAAGTAGAATACATTGCGACTTGTGTTCGAAAAAGTAATAAAAATTGACTGTTTACGATATTTTGCTCAAAAACTTTATTTAGATGTAATTTTTGAGGCATAATATGTTAATAAAATTTGTTGCTGGCACTTTTAGCTAAAATTTTGCTAAAAAAAGTATGTCGCTATCCTCAATAGTTGCCAAGTAATTAGCCAAAAACTGAGCAGGTCAATTCACAAATTTTGTAAAACTTTATAGAGCCATAAAATAAAAATGCGACCTAATATCGCAAAACAGAGCTAGGGTTTTTCTTATCTTAATGTATACTTTCGAATGTGCTATGCAAAATTTGATTTTAAAGTTTCCCGCCTGCTGACAAACAACGTTTTAGTACATAACTAGTTAAAAGAGGTTTAGCGGCAGCTTCCAGCATGGAATCATACAATTCGATTCCATCTATAAGTTCGTGTGTAGTAACATCTGTACCGTTAAAAACAGGAAGCAGTGAAACTGCAATTTTTTAAGTTAAATTTTTCACCCATATTATTAAAATTATCTATATTTTCTATATTTATTGGAGGAGTTTTATTTAGTCTATCATTTAAAATTGTTTTTGCTTTATTTATACAATCATTTATTTCTATTGCGATTTCCGCTACTACAGTAGTGTCTTTTTCACTCGAATGTTTACACTGTCTATTTTTTAACTCACAAAATCCTAACTTAAACTGTTCTAGTTTTTCTAACTTACGTACGGTAGCTTCATAGTCCTTCCTTCTATCGGCGTTTTCCTTTATTAAGTTTTTTGTAAACTTTTGTATTTCGTCTAGGAAATCTAAAAATTCCTTAATTATCGTGGACGTTGTAGACATTAACCTTTTCTACCGCACTACCCTTAATTACCCTAACTAATTTTCTACTACACTACACTAAACTAAACTTTCCAATTACACCATCGAAAAACGACTTCTGGCAATTTTTTTTTTGTCTCTATGTGGATTTTTGCGGTTGAATGCCGAAACTCCGCCACTATTTCCGGCTTGTGCGATGATAATTTCTTCTTTCGACTGTGTTTTTCCCATTTTTACTGAATATTTTACTTATACAGGGTGTCCGGTACAAGGAAGTAAATCCGTTAACCATATATTCTTTGACTATATATATATATATATATATATATATGACTTTCATAATACCATTTTTCAATTTAGAGCTTCATGTTCGATATACAGGGCGACAAAGTTTGAAATTTAAAACTGATTTTTTTTAATAATTCGAGTAATTGATAAGATATTATGTTCAAATTCGGTACACTACTTCAACATAAATAGTTACATTTTTTGAGACCAACAAAGCAAAAAACAATTGTCAAATAATCAAAATAGGGCTGGTCCAGTACTCCCCCTATATTTAGTACGTGCGCCAATGACTTCCAAACGGTATTTTTTCATGTAATCATTTATTGTTTAAAAAATTTTGTCTCTTATAAAATTTTGATAAAATGATTTGTTTTAGAGATAATTTGTAAAGTATGGGTCAGTCCATATCAAATCAACCAAAGGTTCTTCCCCCAACCATCTCCGATTTTGATAATTTTTGGTAAATTTGTTTACCTCACTAAAAAACTCAAAAATCCCATATATGAATTTTTTTCGATGGGTGGTTTTTGTTTTATTGATATTTGAAAATCAAAAAATTCCAAAAAATTTGGGTTTTGCAAGTACTTACAAAAATAGCGATATCTCGTAAACTATTAAAAGTAGAAAGGTGAGTAATGGCTTATTTTAAAGGCCTATTAGAAACCTTTTTTATGATATATCACATGACGTAAATTTTTTCAAAAAAAAAAATTAAATTTCAAAAATTTGATATGAATTGACCCATACTTTACAAATTACCTCTAAAACAAATCATTTTATCAAAATTTTATAAGAGACAAAAAATTTTCAACAATAAATGATTACCTGAAAAAATACCGTTTGGAAGTCATTGGCGCACGTACTAGAAAATAGGGGGAGTCAGTGAGTACTGGACCCCCCCTATTTTGATTATTTGACAATTGTTTTTTGTTTTGTTGGTCTCATAAATGTAACTATTTATGTTAAAGTTGTGTACCGAATTCAAACTTAATATCTTATCAATTACTTGAATTATTAAAAAAAATCAGTTTTAAATTTCAAACTTTGTCGCCCTGTATATCGAACATGAAGCTCTAAATTGAAAAATGGTATTATGAAACTCTTATTGTTTTAACTCAAAGAATATATGGTTAACGGATTGACCTCCTTTTTCAGGACACCCTGTATTTCTCGCTCTTTATTTAAGTACACTTTAAACTGATTTATACTGGACTGGCAGGATCGCCATGTAATGCCCATACTTAAGGCATTGAGAGGTGTTACATTAGGGTGGTAATAAAATGCTGGTGGTCGGCTTGAAGGTTCGTATCGAACTCTGTTTATTGAATTATATTATATTTTATTACAATTCTGATGTGGTCAAATAATGCTTATTGCAGTTTGCACTTTGCGGATTATTGACCTATAGGTCAATAATCCGCAATAATGTTAAGTGTCATCATTATGTACAGTGAATGAACTATGTCTCTGCACTACAAGATGTTCCTAAACCGGAACATTAACAATGGCAAAATTCTTTGACGACCAAGGAATCTCTTCTTGAATAACTGACATCAACTTAGATTTATTTTGAGTGGCCATAGTATTGATGTTGACAAATACGATGCCTATGTAAACGAAACTGCAATCACGTACATGGAATTGTATGGTTGGCATCTCATGTCACCCAATGTACACAAAGTTTTCATGCATGCCATGGCCCTTTAGTCATATCTAAAGGTACAGTTTGGAGAAATAGCTTAGTAGCAACGACATTCAAAAATCGCTTGCGGTCAGAGTCATAACTCCGCGTACTCTAGGATCAAGCGAATATAAACCCTAAAAGTGGTACTGATCCAATGCACGTGACTATAACGAATATATTAAATACTAAGTTTAAACCCTTATTTAAACAGTTGCAGACCAAGGCAGCATAAGAAGACAAAGCCATTTTTAAATGCACAATTTATACGCCTTTTTTGTTTTATTTTTACTCATACATTAAGCGAATAAACCCTCAATTTAATTTTCGATTTAAAGCGAATTTGTGATTTTTTATAAATAACAATTGGAAAACGCTTATCGAAAAGTAACCAAGCGCCAAAAACTTTTTTTAGGCTTAGTAAAATTATTTGTAAAATAAATAACTTATATTTAATATTGCTTAAAAGGTTAATCATCATTTGAAAAGGATTAAGAAGGTTCCCAATTCATTATTAATTTTTTGAGCAGCATCAAAAGTAAGTTATTTTACAAATACTTTTGTTTACCGCAGAAAAAGTTTTTGGCGTTTGGTTCCTTTTCGATATCCGCTATCCAATTTAATTGTTATAATTATAATATAACAATTAATTTATTAATATTATTAAAAATTGTAGCTTTATAACATTATAATAATTGTAGTTTTAATATTTTGTACTTTACAACACTATTGTAATAATTTTTATATTATAAACTTCATGTAAAATATATTGTATTTTTAAAAATACTAAATTAATTATAATATCAATACATAAGGAAACGAATTTTAAAATACGCAGGCACTCTGCGCCATTTTAAGGGAAGACAACATAGGCGACTTTTATTACCTTATTTAAGTAAATATTTAGATTTTTCGAACCTAAAGCATCTATTTATAATATACATATATTATTTTACTTACGTTTGCATTTCTATTAATCACTAAAAATTCAGTTTTTATTTTCTGCCTTTCTAAAGGTTTTAAATTAACTGGTCTATATGTTTCATTGTACCATTTAATATCTGTTGAAATACAACCCAACTCACCATAACATTCATTAAAGAATTCTGAAAAATATCCATTAAGATTATAATAAATATAATAATTTTATTATTTTACCATAATTCGATGTAACTGTATCCTGGCCTAAGATATTAATAATCACTTTTAAAATAATAAGAATAATTTCGAAATTTATGACAAGTAAATTTGACATTGTTTAAAACATATATAATTGTCAAATTATTTAATTATTGTTGTGATTTTTAGTAAGTAACTTAATTTATTATTAAATGATATTGCACTCCCAGTGAAATATTGCCGTAATTTAAAATTATTAGGTTGGGGTAAGGAATGAAATTGTAAAGATTGGTTTATTTAAATAGTTTTAATAAGTTACCCATATACATAATATTCTAATGTAAACTTTACATTGTAAAGCTATGTAAAATTGGGTTAAATCCAAAAAAAATCCGTTATAAAACTAGAATCTCTTTATATAAAATTATATTAAATTTACACATTAGCGACTGTTCCGAAAAACGGCATGGGGGTTGCCAAAATGCAAAAAATAGGAGTGGAGGGATGTAAAAGTGCATAAGCAATCGGCGCAGGGTGAAAAAGTTGTATAATTATCACGTTATTAATAAAAAAGGGGGCTGATAATTGAAGTGACTTACAGTAATTTTCTGTGAAAAACAGCATGTACACAGAAAAAACGCTAGCATAGCATGAATGGGTGAGCGATTAAACCAATGGGATCTTGTAATCCGTATTCCCGAATAACAGTTCTTATAATACCAATAGGTAGTTAGCACTTGGCTTATAATCGTTTACTGTTTTTAAATTAACAACAAAAGTTATTGCATCTAAATCTATTGATATTTATATTGATATTTATTTCATTTATGTTAAAATGTTATTGCATTAAATACTAATTTGATTTATTTAATAACTATACTAATAAACTAATAAATATACTACATTTAACGCAATAAATTCTTTGTCATTTAGGCAAAATATTTCCCTATTTTTATTCTACTAAACATGAAACTAACAAAATGAAACCGATTAATGTAAATGCTAAGAATGAAAAAAGTTTGTTAAAATCAACTATAAAAATCACCAATAAAAAATCAAGCTAAAATGTTTAGTCCAAATAATAAATTCAAATTAAAAGACAATGTTCTTATAAGCAAATATCGCGAGGCATTTTTTAAAGGGTACACACCAAATTGTTCCAATGAAATTTTCACTGTGAAACAGGTTAAATTAACAAACCCTACCATTTACATCTTGGAGGATTAGTATGGAAAACCCATTATGGGAGGATTTTATTAATTCGAATTGCAAAAGGCAGAGTTTCCCGATATTCAATTAGTGGAAAAAATTTAAGGCGAAAAGGAACAAAAGTATATGTTAAATGGTTTGGAGTAAATGAGAAGAGTTGGATCAACAAAAATGACTTAGTATAAATAACATTATAATGTACAATAATTAAGAGGCTAAATAACAATAATTTAAGATTAAAAAGTGTTTATTTTCTTATATATCAGTGAAATTTTTACTGTGAAGCAGGTTAAATTAACAAACCCTACCACTTACATCCTGGAGGATTAGTATTGTAATGGTTTAGTATTTTAATACGTTTTACAAATTTCTAAATTGTGTTGTAAAATGTAAAAATCTTTGCAAAAGAGGTAACAAAACGGCCGTAGAGGTAAAGAAATTATAAAGTTTCCTGGAAGACCGGAATTTTGCCTGAGATGGGAAAAATTCTGTTGGCCAGATGAGGCGAAAACAAGATCGAAACTGGTAGAGGGGAGCAAAGAAGGTGGCAGAAAGTTTTCCGAAGTGTGAGAGAACGCATCGTTTTCGAGAATCTTTGCTAAAACCATAATTATTGTAAAATTCTGTGTAAACAATTGTTACGAGTGTTTGTGTATTCTCCCAGGTTAGTTCTTAATTTTAGTAGCCCAATCCTGTAGTAAAGTCCACTAAACGTAGAACGATTTTGATTTAAATAAACTGAGCATTAGTTATTTTGCACTACTACGTTTAGTGAATTTTACTCGATATTAACACCTTTTGTTTTAGCTATTTTTATAGAATGTTTTTACCTTTTAAGTTTACTGCTAAATGTAAAAATTTATATTCCTTTCTTTTATTGTCTTAGGCTTAATTTAGTTGTATACTACTCAAATGTTTAGACCCTCCCTCAACACGATTATGCATTTTTTTGCGGTAATTTTAAAACAAATATCAGTGTAATACAGGACGTTTCGTTGCTTAAAAGGGAGTATTGACCGTTAATTTTAAACTTTGAATGCTCCTTTTTCTTAGTACGTAGTTTGCAGTAGATACTAAAATACTCTCCTCCGTGAGGGGTAACTGGTCACCTAGGTTCTCTAGGTGGCATCGCAACTTTTACCCCGAAACTGCATCTTTACGCGAGTTGTTTCCAGTGCGGACCTTGTTCTCCACAGGGCAACGTTAACGTTGACAGACTAGCAGTTAACTGCCCTGTTAAACTAACAAAGTTTTTCCTATTTTTTTGAACCCGTAGGGGTAGATAGTGTAACGAGCGTCGTGTCATTCCATTTGATTTGCATAAACTTTTTAAGAAACCATGCCTAATCGTGTAATCCTTTGCTACTTCATAGCCGAACAGGGTTTTTTCTCAAGCTCTTTTTCCCTGGTCGTATCTCCCTAAGAGCCACCCCTTGTGTTTTTTTTGTTTGTAAAGTAAATTAAATTGGGGTAAACTAAACACTGTATTTTATTTTTTGTATACCTAAGTCTCCCAAGTATGATTCTTAAAGCAATGTATTCAATAAAACACGTAAGTAAACACAACGTAGGTGTCCAAATTTCGGTAAGACGATCACGAGCCATAGTCACAAAATAGTTCATTTATTAATTTTTTATAAACTTGTTTTAACGAACCTGGTGTAAGGAGAAATCTTTACAGTATGGAAAACCCATTATGGGAGGATTTTATTAATTCGAATTGCAAAAGGCAGAGTTTCCCGATATTCAATTAGTGGAAAAAATTTAAGGCGAAAAGGAACAAAAGTATATGTTAAATGGTTTGGAGTAAATGAGAAGAGTTGGATCAACAAAAATGACTTAGTATAACATTATAATGTACAATAATTAAGAGACTAAATAAAAATAATTTAAGATTAAAAAGTGTTTATTTTATTATATATCATCAAATATGCTTTCAAATAAACTGTATGTGCTTCCACTTTATTTCATTAATTATAATACTTCATCAAACAATTCGTATTCAACTTCAATGCGTATGTTGTAGTCTTCATCACTATTTTCAATATTTTCATGTTAACCTATATCCTGGATCATTTGTTGTATTAAAGTTACAATATCTTAAACCCTGATCATGTATTATGGTACTGAAGATGTCATTTAATATGTATGCGTTAAAAATAGGAATTTGCAGCTGGTACACAACAAAAACTAATACTTATTATAGGTTACAGCAGATAAACAAAATCTTGAGCTAAAGTACAAAACATATACTCGTAGTAACGCAAATAAATAATAAAAAATTTAAATAATTGCAAGTTTACTTTTTTTTTATTAAATTTATTTATTAAATAATACTATAATGCCCCCAAAGCAAAGTGTCATGCGAATTTTTTAAAATATATCTTTTGTCGTCAAAGCAACTTGTGACAAATTTTTGTACACTATAAACATCGTGCGCGATAGAGTTTATTAAATTATGATTTATAATTTAATCAGTTTTTGAATTCAGGCACTTGAAATAATCTTGGAATGTTATAGAATTTTTAACAATATTCTATTTAACACCCTTCGATTTTTTAACGCATTTTTCACCCCCAAACTTAAAAGTGTACATATTAAACCGCACACCAATAAAATGAATCATAATTTCCCTATTAATCCGGGAACTTTTTTATTAACCAAAGGTATATTACAACGGTTATTTTTTGGATAATCGCTAGTATGTGAATATCCTTAAGTATAACTTATATGCGTCGTTACAGGTGAATTGATAAAGCAAACTATCGGTGTCGGTGTATAATAATTTTACGTTGTCCCTGTTAAGTCAAAGACGCATATCGAGTATTGACATACCAATATATAAACGTTTGTTTAAGCACAAATTCGTTTTACTAAGTTCAGCAGCAATAAGATTATCCTTATAGTCCGATTCTGAAAATTTGGACTGGCAATTACATTTTTGGCACCATATAGACCCTCACATTTATTAACTAATTTTACTATTCGATGTTTTCGAATATTCTCAATAGTTTTTCCAAAATCAGCGTTTTCCATTAATTTGAATACATTTTTTTTCGAATTCATTTATTCAATTTATGTTTAAGTCAATGTAAGGTTTTAGCCAGGGTTATTGATTAAATTTTAAAATTCTATGAATTTTGGTTAGTTTTAGTCCGTGGGATAAAGCTTGTTTTAAATTTCGATAATGAATGATTTACTTAGATGTATTATTAAGCGTGGTAATTAATTTTAATAATTTTAAATTTGGTGGTTTGATATGATCGGAGCAAAAATGGTAAATCTTTATGTAAATCGTGCAAATTTTGAGGATACTCCAAATCAACTTCCAGAATTACCCGACCGGTGATTCATCCGATACACCAAAATCATCAAAGTTTTCATAATTTTCGAGCCATTGGAACCCATCATGAGATAAATATTGACACATAGCCCAACCGTAAAGGTTATTGACATCAAAATATATTAAATATTTGGATTATTTTGATGGATCGTACGCATTACCCATGTAAATAAAATCATATCAACCTTTAATATTTAAATATTTGCAAACGAAAACCGGTGAATTTAAGCATGCAATCCCAAGTGTAACAATGCTAAAGTGTAATAATGCTCAGGATCGAGCCCATATGTTTTAAAGCAACTATTGCGAAATTGCTCAAAAACATCGAATAATAAGAGAATGTCGGTTTTTAAATAGAGATCTGAATATTCGCCCAAATTTTGATAACCGAATTCACGCCAAACAAGCTGAGCATGCGCATACTCGTTTTCTGAAATATCGCAATCATTAAGTTCGTTGTAAAATGCCGATTTTTCGGGAAAGCTAGAAAATCTAATTTTTTAAAGGAATCTACAAAATCGTACGGAAAACGCCTTTATGCGGTAAAAGTTTTAATTTTAATCTGGGGGCGTTGGCATGTCCAC